GTAAGAGTGCTTTTGATGTAGCACTACTGATTTCAGTGGAATTACACCAGGGATCATTATTGCCCATTTTGCACGGTACAGAAGAGCATCATTACCCTGAATAGTCCACGTCCGGTAGTGTTTCTCAAGAGCAGGCACATTTTACTGGAGGAGGCTTCTTGGGTCAACTTTTGACCTTTGTTTCTTCTCAGGATCATCAGCTTCCTTGAAAATTACTCAGCAGCCAGAGGAGTGCTCCACTTTAGCAAGCACTGCTCTCAAGGAGAGATAGCACCGATTGCCCCTCTAACCACTTGTAAATATGAAAAAAAAAAAAAAATGCTTGAAGAAACTACCTCAAAAGGTAGCAGCACAGCAGGAACTGGCTTTTATATTGTTATAAAGAGTCAAATGGCAAATCTGGCAAACGCATCTGGGCCTCGGGTTAAGACACTGCCACACTCCATGTGGGACTGTAAATGTGTTATTCTTTATGAGCAATGTTTATGGAAGTAGGTCCAAAATCAGCAAGACTGATGGGTAGAATTAATCACCTTTCACAAGCAGGGGGTCCAGAGGTGGCATGTAATGGACATAACGGTATATGAGAATGGTGCTAAAAAGATTTACTTGCTATAATAAAATGTTCCCTAATACTTAAAGTTTTGATGCAACGTTGAAGTAAAATGTAGCATTGGAAGTAAGGATTTTCTTTTCAATACAATACTAATTCTACAGTGTGCACTTGAGGGACTATGCATTATTTCCTTGCTACTGCTAAATGTAAACAACTTAAAGCCCTTGGGCTTTACTGTCCTAAAGCATGAAACTGGAATAAATAGCATGTAAGGGAGCTGTGCACCACATTTGTGGCCATCACTGTATCTACTGCATTCAAACATTTTGGCATAATTTCTTTCTGTCCTGTCCAACATCTGTTCACTTATTTCTGTCTTCATCATGATCTGTTCACAGAATCATGACCTGGTTTCCTTTTCCTTTTTTTGCATGGTGCAGAAAACTCACTCTGCTCTCCTACAGTTGAACAAAATAAACGTGGAGCTGCCAGTTATCTCTGCAATCTCACTTGTGTGCAGAGAAACCGAATCACCTGAGAGCGGTGGTGACCTAGAGCATCACAAGCCCAATGCCCTTTCCACTTCAGTAACAGAGAGCCTTTTTAATGACATGATCTAATTTCTGCTGAAGGATTTAGCCCTGAAGAAATTGTACTCTTGCAGTAAATGAAGGAATACTTATACTAAACTGTGCATAGCATAGTTGTTGTTGTACCAGTGAAATGACGCCTTCTGAAAGTACAGCATATTCACATTCCAGTACTGGAATGAGCTGTACAAATAGCTATATTTTTACAATAATATATCTGGTCACTCTTGGAGCCCTCTATCATTTTGACAGTGTCTAATCATACAGCACAACTCTGGTGCATAAAGAAGTTCCAAGATGCAGGAGAGAGTTAAAACTCGTAACAGACAATGAAAGAGGAGCAATGCTGAAATACTAGCTTGTGGCCATATTTATCACAGACTTAAGTAAAGCAAATGCACAACATTGTAAAGCAGGGATAACTCGTACAGCTAGCTATTTTGGGCTCCATCCTCATGCAAGCATTCTCCTTTCGTCAGGTTTGAGAAACACTCCCTGTTCTTCCTGGGATAAGATTTTGCAAGATTTTTTCAAGAAGCATAACCCAAATTTTGTAGCTGTGGAGGACAGATGGCAGTGAACCGTCTTTTGTTTCCAAGCCACATCTGGCTCTGGTTTGCATCTGGCTGGACTGCCGCGATGCTGACTGCCTCGCTGAACTGTCTCATACCCAGGAGCTGTGCCCAATCACTCAGCTCAGGACCCAAGCACCCACCTCCCTGTTGCGCCCTACCCACCCTTGGTCTCATCATGTGTGCCAAGCCTTCCCCTCATGTTTCTGATGAAAACACCCTGGGAAAGATTTACTCAAAGGAGGTGAGAGATTATTCCACCCTTACCCACTGCCTCAGCACTGCGTCAGTTGTCTGGCAGGGGAGAAAATGTTTCCAGGTCAGCCAGACAGTTGTGCACAGTCCCCTGACGTGTGCCTGCCTGTTTGCCTATTGTATTTGCAGTGGGTGTATAAATATATGTAACCTCAACAGCTTGGCAAATAGAAACTCTGAATTTTAAGAAATGCTTCTTATAAATGTTTCCATTTCTCAGAATCTTCTTGTCTGGATCCCTCAGCGTAGTATTTAACGAATGCCTTAATTTTCATCTTAAAAAGGAGAGACAGAAACATCAAAGCTACCAGCTTTCCTGTTTTAGATAAAATATGCTGACATTTCACCCAAGAGGAAGGATTTTTAGTAGATCATAGCATTCTTGTCTCTAAATATGTCTTTTAAAAAATCCCATTGATGCTTTCCAGTTTCAAATTCATGCTATTAATAGGTCAAAAAAGAGGCTTCTGGGAGAAAGCAATCATGTGATTTTGTAGCTTAAATGTTTCACATAAACAAAGACCAAAATGAAAGCTGCACAAGATAACTTATTTTTGGTGTACAGCAGTTGTACTGAAGGGGCTGGCTTCTCCCTATCAAAGCATCAGTATAGAGGTCGTGTAAAAGCACATTGAAAAAAGCCTGGATTTCATCTGTCCTCCTGTAGCAAATTAAGAGTGACTGTTAACTGAATGTCTTCAGTGCTGTCCAAGTAGCGCTTTGCCAAAGCCTTTATTAGGACTGCTGGAGCCATATCAAAAACAGGTTTAAAACAGAGAAGGCTGCCTTCATCTTTAGAGTTTGGTCTTTAGAAACTTGGGGGTTTTTTTCCAACTGAGTATCACTCAGGATTTCAGCTTCAAGACCACAGCTGAGTATGACACCTGTAGCAACATAGTTCCACATGCAACTGACCACATTTCTTTTTAAGAAAAGCCAGCCATTTTCTAAAGAGCAAACATCCTTCATGCTGCTTCGCGCTGGATGTAGCCCAGCAGGTACCCACTGAGCTGTGCTACTGAGACCTCTTAAATGCCAAAGCACAGGTTGTTAAATACTTAGCACCTCAGGACCCGTAGATCCATCTTTGACTGTCTCACTTTGTTTCTTGGTACATGTGATGACTTGGTAGTCCTCTCCTGAGGGAACATTTCAACAGCACATTGGGCCTGAATGAGCTGATGAAACTTCTGGGCAGTAATCAGCTGGCTTGAACAGAAAAGCAAAGGTCCCACAGAGAAATCTCACTACCAGCCCACGAAACGCAGCAGGAAGCACTAGCAGATGACAGAGGCAGCAAAAGGAGCAAACGGAAAAACATTCAAATGCAGAAATGCAGCAAAATGCAGAAACTGTGGCTGGAGATAGCCATCCCTAGTGTTTTGTGAACTAACACCTTGGAGGCTATGAGCAAAGCTGAGTTGAGCAGGGTAAGGTATTTTTCCAGCATCAGCAGGTCTAACTGTTGAACATGACTGCATCATACGAGAGCACGAGACCTTTTCTGTCATGCATGAGTACGAATTCATAGTGAAATCACTTAAAACCCACCTAGAACTCCTGGTGCACAGCACAGCTAAAGTCAGTGAAAGCTGGATTCATCTATGAAGTCTAATTCGCTTGTGTGTTTTGTACTGCTTTCTGTCTGCTGCCTTATTAAAATCCAATTGCCTGATGTGAAATAGGCCATGGAGTGACAAGAATAGTTTGTGCATAGATACTATATCTATATATACACTCAAAAACTAACAAGTAAGCCTTGTCTGTCATGTCAAAAATCTTTCTATTTTGGGCTGCGTTTGAAGCCTGCTTTTGGTGGTGAATGTTTTTCCGTTATACATAGTTTTCACAAGTCGGGTTCCATTCCTGCAATGAACGTGGCATTGAAAAGGCTGATCCTGCAGGTTTGGGCAGCCTCTGAAACTCAGTTTCTTTGAACTGATGATTTCCTTATTAGCTCCTCTTTGCTGGAGAGGATACAGACTCTCACAGCTGGTTCCTTGAATGAGCATTGCGAATCACTTTGCAAATTCAAAACCAAGACTCCCCTTTTCTGGTCAATGCAAGGGGCTAGTTCGGTTGATCCTTTGGCTGACCTTTTTTTCCACCAGCTCCATTTCTTTCTTGCCAAGGGGTAAAGTCCTTCATGGCTTTGGGCTCCTGATTTTCCCTTTCGCAGGGTGCTTGTCCTGTCTGCCAGCTGATCTGTCACAACCCTCTGGCAGGATATGGGCCAAACAAGATACACAGACTGATGTGCTGCTTAAAGCGTTGCTTGCAACCAGTGCATCTCCACTGGTGAACTCCCCTGGGTGAGCTGCAGCTGGATTAGACAGTGGCCAGGTGATGTTGTAGCCATGTTTCTGGTGTAGAAAGCAAAGCAAAACTACATGGAGTAATTCTATTGGGTGTAAGCTACTGCTGCTCTCCATGACAGTGTTGCTGTATCCTGGGATATCCATGGTTTCTGGAAGACTTTTTGTTCATTTGTTTTGAGTAGTGTCTGGCTAGGAGGTGATGTGTGTGTGTGTGTGAAGGTATAATGCATCTCTCTGTCTGTATGTATGCCTGTAAATGTATGGAGACACATCCATGGTGTGAATCAAAAATAACATCTTTTATTAATTTAATAGCAGACTGATTTTATCCTTCATGAAGCACATTACATTTAGAACATGTCCTTCCAGGACATGCCTTATCATTCACAAGAGATCCACGATTTCAGTTCTTGCAGGACTGGCTAATTTGCAAGGTTTAAACTCTTATTTTTATTAGGAACTAAAAATAACTTCATGTGAAGTCATTGACAGTAAATAAAGTGTACCCTGTAAAACTGACACACCTAAATCTGGAAGACCTGACATCTAGATAAACTGCTCATGGATTGCCTGAAATCGACTGTCTAAATCAGTAATCAGAAATTCAATGGGGACAATCTAAAATTCAGCAACAGAGGCAGCTCCTTCTCAATCTTCAGATGGTTTTTGTTCAGTCTGTTCCTAAGGTTTGGGGTTTTTTACCTTACAGTCAAAAGCTCTTCGGGAAAAATGGCTGCTACAGGGAATTTCTGCTGGCTCTGCAGAAGAGGAAGAAGCCAGAAGGAGGCAGTCAGAAGAGGATGAGCTGAAGGTGAAAAAGCTGGAAGAAAACATACACAGGTAGGGACAGTTTCCCTTTGCTTCTCCTGAGAGCAGTCACTCCCGTTAAGACTAGAGACCTTCCTTGCTTAGGTCCCCATCTCTGGCAGCAGCTGATAGCAGCTGCCCAGGGAAGAGTATGAGGCATGCGCGCATACAACCAAATGTGCCCAATTTGTTTCCTAGATGTCCAAGGTTTGCAAGGTAGAGCCACTGTAGTATCTTTGCATTTAATGGACTTTGACGGCCTTCTCTCACAAGGGAGCTAAAAAGAGGGCTGAGTTCCCCCTTCAGATGCACGGTGTGTGACTCGGTCAACACTCAAGAGATTCTCCACTGCTTTACACCTCCTACAATCAAAAATTGTTCAAAAGAGGGGTGGCACTCTTTTGCGCTCACTGTTTACTGGTGCAAATGACTTTTCGAAATGCAACAGCAGATGCCACCAGCAGATCAAATATCTACTGCTGTCAGAAGTAAGGTTTGGCTGTTAGTTATTTCCTTTTATCAGTCTCCCATTGCAGTCTGAGTTGATGTTTGTCCCCTTTTTTGTGTTTTTGTTTTGCTGCAAAATATGGGCTCTAAAGCTCATAAAGAAAATGCCTTTACCCCTCACAGAAAAAAATCCAGAGCTGCTTCTTCTGCCTTTTAGGCTATGTGGATTTACGTTTTTTTCAGCTGCCAGAAAATTGGCAAAAGTTGGTCAAATTTGGCACCACAGCATTTACAAATGTGTCAGCTGAGGCATATAAGTGTCAGAGAAAAGCAAATAGGACCAACAGTGCAAGGGTTGAAGTATTAGCCTAGCATCTGGTGAACTCAGTTTGCTTTATGCCGCTTTTCTTGTGAAATCTCTTGGAGAAATCACTGCAAATGATTCTTTGGGGATATACACAAGCAAACCCAACCTGAGCTTGAACAACGCTAAATGGCTTCTATGTGGAAGTAACAGATAAGCACGAATATAAGAGTTGTCTCATACTACTGGTCTGTGTCTTGTGATTCCTATTAATTAAAACTCATCTGAGAATGTATATTGTTCTTTCACATCTGTGGTAACATAAGGCAAGAAAGCTTGGTTTATTTTATTTCATGTGCTACCTGATGCTTTACTCCATAAATTAATGCAGTAGATGGAAAGAATACAGGGACTGAACTTCAGAAATACATACTGTAATACATATTTCATCTAGTGCTGAATGCTGCAAGGTGCTAAATGCCCTGACCCCATCAAGCAAAATACATCAGCACGTGCTTAAAATCTGCTGTGTAAGTACCACCATTGAATGCAATAAAACCTGCTTTGCTTAATTAGTTCAAAGCGTAGGATGAAAGCCTGTCTAAAACTTTTGCCTTTCTGGGGTTTTTTTGCTTCCTTAACAGCAGCAATGCAATAAAATCTTTAAATATTTGGAAGTAACAGAGCTCTCTTCTGCTGGGACCACCCATTTGTCAAGTGACAGATCAGCTGCATGGTCCTGAGTTGAGAGGACATTTGTTTGACAGCCTCACTAGCATGCTTAATTTCCCTGTTATCTTTCTAAGGGAACTCCAAAGACAGTAAAAAAGTATTTTAATGTAAATGAGAAAATATTACACCTGAACTGTAGAGAGAAGGCAGTAGAGGTTGAGGTCATTAGTCTAACTACAATTTACATCCATGACAACGTGACACATGCAGAGCCTATCAGGATAGCCTGAGAAGGTAAAGGGTCGTAGAAGAGCTAAGAAGAGGAGAGAAGGTGTCAAGCATGTTATCTGCAGGAGTGAAGTAGAATGAAAGGATTTTTTGCAGCCTGTGCACCACACTTCCCCTCTGCATTCCCAGGAGAGAATCAGAGGGAGGATTTGGGGGGAACTGTTCATCTCTTCATGTTCCCAAGGGCCTGATGATCCTTTGTAAATGCACTATGCGCTGTCCAATGAGACCACTATGAAACAGCCCAAACCCCCTCAATGAGGGCGTTGATGCCAGGGGACTGTATGACCATGGTGCCATGGATCTTATATATTCATTAGAGTCCCACTGCATCGTACGTGCAAGCACAGAGCAGCAGCAACATCAAGACACATGTGACAGAGTCTTGTAGCACACATGTTGGCTTTGTCCCTACTGGAAAATATGCGGGCTTTCTCATTTGCTGTAGGAGCAGGGTGAAGCTTACTCATGAAGGCCAACTCCCAACCTCTGCTGGTAGCCAGCACCCTTGCACCTCTTTTAACAAGGGGGAACATGCCATCATCCCCTTCCTCTTGCAGCAGAGCATCTCATCACCATCTCAGAGAGCACCATTTCTTCTGCTCACAAGGAAGCGCTCAGGAAGGTCCCTTTTTCATACCTCTGAGGTTACCACGGCACAAGAGAAATATCCCTCTTTATTCACAGGCCAGATGTAAACAATAGGTTGGACAAGCCGAGCAAACTGTGACACTTAGAACAGAAAACTGGAGGAGATACTGTTTGAGACCAGACATTAATAAACCAAGATGTGGGCTCATCATTGTCCAGAAGAGGCAAATATCTCTACCTTAGGGAAACAGCGTGGCTAGCTATGGGTTTGTAGATGGTTTTGAAGGCCTTGAACATAACACAAATACTTCAGTTGAGTATTGCTTCTTCTAATTCAATTTTAAGTGACTTTCCCACTAAAAGCAGACATTTTGCAAGATGTACACATGCTTGTAATGTTTATTCTTAAGATAGTGTAACCAGTTCTCCTTTGTGTGGGAGGTGTGTAATTCAACTGGAGAAGCAAAAATGCATGAAGTGCACAGACTGTTGTTTATTTATTAGACTTCCATGTCATCATGATACGAGAAATCACAAGCTTGTAGCTTGCAAGGATATGTGCATACAAGTAAACTTAGACGTGAGTAAGTGCAATGATTTAATGAGATCGCTCATCTGCAAAAGCATTTGGAAGAAGGATGCCTACATTAGTCAGCATTTCTGCACACTTTATGCCAAGAAACTGAAAAAATATCTGCATAACAAAAAGTGAAATGAAGCAGAACAAACAATGCGATAAAAATAATTAAATAATATCATTATGCTGATAATTACCAACAGGAGGACACAGAGGTACAAGATCCACATACAAGTTAAAAAAACAGGCAGTGCAAGATCAAGACAAGGAGCAGCCATATGAATGGTGTAACAGTGGATTACAGACAGAATGATCATTTGATAGTTGGGATCAGTTTAATATGTCTAGAGATTTTGAAATTTATGAACATTAGAAACAGTCTCTTCGTATCCAAGAATGCAAAGTGGAAATAGAATAATAAGCAGAGCTGAAGCAAGTTTGGCCCTGGACTGCCGGCATTGCTGCTTGCCTAACTTGAGTCTTCAGAATAAGACTTATGCTTCCTCACTCAAAAATCCTGATATTGTGTCTTACGTTTCTTTTAAAAAATGGTTGGTCCAGAGGGCTTAACAAGAAGATTGGACCCTTTATTCAACATTCATTGAGTCTTACGTGGGCTGGCAATCTGTCAGTACTGGGAAGGGTGGAAAAGTACTACTGCATTATTCAATGTTTGAAACCCGGCTGCAAGATTGCTGGTGCCACCGTATCAATTGCAGAGCAAAGCCAGACGTGCATTCAGGACATCTCTCAGCACAAACTGTCCTTAGACATAGAGAAGTTTTAAAGCTGTTTTTGTTTTCCATGTTCTCCTAAAGGTCTCAGCTCAGTGTTAGAGGACTGAGTTTCTGAGTTTCTTTCCCATTGTCACACAGTGAGAAAGCGTTCTCCTGTTTTCTGCAACTAGCTTCAATTTGGGGTAAATAATACCAAGGAGTAAAAATGAATGAAAAACATTTCCCTTCCCTTAAACTTATCCTCCAAATCACAGACCTGAAACATATTATTTGGGATAGCATTGATAAAGATGCCCAGTGAACTCCCACAGACATGTTTCTGATAGTGTGTTGTAGGTGAAACAAGCACTGGAATGTGTTGCATGCCTCCCATGGTTATTTTTACCACATGACAGTCTGTTATTTTGCAGAAGTGAATGGAAAGTTGGCATTCGACATCTGGGTATTAACAGGCAGCATTCATAGAGCAGAGCAGCCCACCCACAGCCTGCTGTTCCTTCACAGCATTTGAAAGGTTCCCAAAATTATTTTGTTTTACTAGATTACATTACAGTACGTGCTGGCGGCCTGTGTTTACTACAAAAGGTGAAGAGTTTTCATTGCTCTGAAGCTTTCATGTAGCATGTCAACATGAAATACTCTGTGACAACGTATCTCCTTACTTGATGACAGACACTGGTATGAGAAACAAGGACTGGACTTGTGCTCCTGGGGAAAAGAAACCTACTAAGCTAAATCCTCAGTAAAGTGGCATATCCCTTCAGAAATCAACAGTGCATCTATTCACTTTGGATGAGGAGGTGCATATCAACTGCACAGAGAGAGAGATTATTGCTCTAGCAGAGCAGCCGTTTTGGACACGTGGACCAGCAGACGGCTGAGAGCAGTGGGTGCTAAAAGGATCCCCAAAAAAAGCACACGCAAGAGATACTTGTGGCACTTTGGCACTGTGGCAGCTCTTGGTGGTGAAGCAAGGCAGGACAACAGGCAAGGTGTAAGTGTATCCCCTGTTCTTTACTCAGGGATACTCAGCTGTCAGCACATCCACCTCCTAATATTTGCAAAAGCCCTTTGGGATTGTGGAGTGTTTCACTCTCGTGCATGCTGGTGGTGAACTGCAGCTGTGTCATCTCTAGGAGAAAGCTTTTCCATCATCGTCCAGCATGGAGAGAGAGCCCCAGTGCTAACGGTGGCAGGGGTAGGTCTGTGTTTTCGACCACAGCGTGTGAGCTCTTTCTTGGGACAAGCACCTGTCTTTGCTGGTTGCTGTTGTCCTGCTGATGTGGGCAGGTGGTGAAAACATGCAAAAACTCACTCCCTCCCAGCAGCTCCCATCTCAGAGCGGTGCTGTTCTTCTATACTTTCAAAACCTTGAAAGTATTTTAAATAAGTGTTGAACTGAAAGATGCGTGTGAGT